ACCTTCAAGTGTAGGAAGACCTTTTCATGAGAAGAAATATAATCTGAAGTTTTCCATCTGTAGTTCTGAAATAATTGGAAATTGGCTTAAGTGCCTTGGAGTTGTACAAAAAGAATACACCGTATAAGAAATCACCAGCTTGGTAATCTTGAACATCTCACTTAACCTTTCTGATGCTGGTTCTTCTTTTTTGTATTCTACAATTTTCGTTAGGCACCCATTACCTCAAAAATTCAATGGTGAATAAATCTGAAAAGAGAAAAATACTCATTGAAACTCATTGAAAATTTTCTCATCTGTATAAGAGATCTAGGTTGCAGAAAGAACTCTGTAACATTGAGTGTTGTGAAATATACTCCAAGGTGAAAAATAAAAGGATAGAGAATTCTTATCTTCTGAACAAAAGACATTTTTCTGAAAGTCCAAGAGAAAATCATTAGCAGTCATTAGTTACTTTTTCCTTTGTACTTACAGAATTTTTCATAACTCTTTTCCAGTGCTTGTTATACTTTGTTATTATTCTTCTGTCTTTTTTCGCCATATGAACTCTTCTGAATTCTCTAAAACAAAGCTGATCCCTTGTTCCTTTCTGAACTTACCAAAATCGTAAGAAGCAAATGCCTGAAATACTGTATCTACTCATAAAATATTTGATGAATGAATGAGTAGATGAAAAAGAATGGGTGAAAATTCTCAGTTGGAAAACGAAGAAAATCACAAACTGCAAAACAAATTGTTAATACATCAGTACTAACATTGATAAAACATTCATTGAAATGGAAATAATTTTGGCTTTACTTAGATATGGATAAAGCTCTAATTAGGCAAATTTTTAAGCATCTTTCATAATTATTTAAAATTTCCAGAACTTCCTTCTTGGCAGCTCTTGGGCAAGATAAATTCTAGTTTTTGAAAGGGAGTGGGTGGTCCTTCTCGCCTGTGCTTCAATGACTCAGTGATTTCAAATGAACCTTTAGAAATGCTTCCAAATGGCTCTTTCCAATCACCCTGCCACCAACAAGCTCAGATTAAAATTTCAAATATTTAACCCACTATTGCCATTTTGCAAGCATTCTGTTTTTACACAAGCACATGTTTCAGCCTGTCAGAAGTGCTGTGAATGTGGGCTAGCTAAGAGTAGAATTCTATCTCTGTAAAGCCAAAATAACAGGTTGAATAATTTTTTAAAGTGAATTGACTAAATAAACTATTCAGAGCAGTCAGATAGGTCCAGGTCTTTGCCTCCTGCCTCAATGTCATCAGGTCTAAAATTCCTAGTGCTCTGCATTTCTTTAGGACTGCTATGTAGCAGGTGATATTAGACCAACAAAGCCAGTGTGACCACATTTACAGCATAGATTTCTAAGAAAGATCTTTTCTCAGATTTGATCACTGTGAGTCAAGCATCTTCTAGGTGCCTGGGACTGTATGTTACCATACATTTTATATAGATTCTTTATCATGCTAAAATTAGTCCTGGAAGGCAGGAGTCATTATTCTAATTTTAAATGTATAGAAGAAATGAAGTAAATTGCCCATGGCTGTCCAGCTACAAATCTTTCTTGTTCCACTTTCCCTCCTAAAATTGGAGAGTTGGATCATTTACTAGCATTTGAGCCTAAAAGCTGTGAAAACACAGACCAGAAGAATAAAGCATTATTGAATGAACATTGGTGTTTTTTAATAAGAGCTTTTCACTCAATTCGGTCTAGTTGGACATCTTTATCCTACCGAATGGAGAGTTTCCAGAATTCAATTATCCATTTCCCATTGCTATTTTCAAATTGTCAGTATTCATTTTAATGAGAGAATCATTTCTTAAGGTAAAATTGTATGTTTTCCTTATAATGTCTGAATTTGGCACCTTGTAGAGTAATTTTCTGAAAGAGAATTGTGCTTCCATTACCTAATTGCAAAATGTTGCCAAAATTCAAAAAGGCATTCAGAAGAGGAGGCAGTGCAAGAATTCAAGTGGACCTCAAGTTCTCACTATTTAAAAAAATGGGAATATTTTTGGACTGGAGTAGCATGACTGTATTGTCATCCTACTTGTTTGTTTATGTAACTGCAGCTGAAAGGAAAGAGTGAAAAACCCGTTGCTTTTCTCTCGACTTTCTCCAGTGATACTTACAATTGAATTGCAATATTCAGAAAGAAAATCTTTCCAAGTATTTTGTGTCTTTTAAAAGGGTTAATTACACTACTTTACTGTCTCACACTAAGGAATAAGTGAATTTAGTCTCAGTGTGATAAATTCTCAGGAAAAAATGACTTCAACCAAGTAAAATGAAAGCTCTAACAGAAAAAATGCAAATGAATCAAAAATGTGGCATTAACTGATGGAAAGTTTTGTTTCACTCCTTATTTGAAAATGCTTTGTTTCCATTCGTTTCCATCTATTCTGTTTGCTTTCGTTGTTGTTTGTTTTGTTTGCTGTTTTTTTTTTTAAGGGAAAGGTAAGAGATAAGGAAAAAAGAATCAAGATATATTATGTACAGGTACAAATCCCCTATGATGAATGCGATCATTGTATGTCAATAAAAGTAATTGAAAAATAAATAAGTAAAACCTGATGGGTAGGAATACTTAATTCTTACTGTCACCAAAAGTGGTGAAAAAGAAATTAAGAATTATAAGGAAATGTGAGTATCTTCCAAATGCCATGTATTTCAGTCTTTTGTTTAGAATTTCACATGTAAATATATGGTATGTATTAATAATATTCTGTTGGATAGTATAATTAGTGTATTATTTTCATCCTTACTAATCATTTTTCAGTTTTCTGATAATCTTATAAATTTATCAAATAAAAATGTCAATATGAAGAATTGAAGCTCACCCTTCTCTACACAGTCTGTACTATTCCCAAGTTGATACATATTTTCTCCTCCATAGAAGTTTAAACATAGGAAAAATTCTTAGTTTTACATTGTAAATCTCCTTCTGATAGTTTCCCACACAGAGTACATTATTTTATTTTCAATCCAAACACGAAGACTTTACTTCTGGATACTAAAGACTATGGCCATGTTATGACTGTGTTTATGTAGGTTTGTAATATAGTAATAAATAGAATAAATTTTTAATAATAATGATAATTCTAAGTGCCTGCCTGGCAAGCACTATGTCGTGAGTTCAATCCCTGGTACCAATAATAATAATAATAATTCATCCACCATGACATTCTCCGTGATTTAAAAAAAAAAGGAACAACCTTATCCATATAGGTACCTGCCTGGGAATTTGGCAATTGTTTTTTTTTTTTTTTTTAATTTTATTTAAGAGGAAAAAGAGAAAAACACAAAACAAAACAAAGCGGTGTAAGGGTACACATAATACAGAATTACAAAGAAAAAAAACATAACAGTAAGAAATCACCTGTTAATAGATTACATATTATCATCTTGGAAATAGTTGCTCAAATCACAGTATCAAAGAATACAAAGTGGACATTCAAACAGAGAGACTGCAAACAGCTGTGTTCAATGATCCAAAAACATTAATATAGTCAGCTATTTAACACCCATAAACACACTTGCTGTTATATCCGTTAGAGCTCTTTTTTTTTTGCCCCCTCTCTTATTTACAACAAAATTTACACATTTTGGATTTTATTACTCCTTAGTGCTTATTACTTTGGGGGGGGGAGAGAATAAAGTCAAATATGGCAAAACGGCAATTGTTTGAATCATTGTTTTTATCTTTTTTTTCAGTATCCTATAGAATTTTTGAACCTGATAAATATTTTAATATTATCCTTCCAAGGCCCATATGCAGGCAGACAAAATCCTCAGAGCAGGAGCCTATTAGGAACAAGTTGACTGGATCACATAGTAAAACACTCCCACCATAGATGCTGAGTGCGATCACTATAACATTGGCTGGCCTCTATAACTGTTCATCTAGGAAAATCCAAGCCATTTGGGAGACTGAGGCAGGAAGAGTGCAAGTTTGACCCCAGCCTTGGCAATTTAACAAGACTGTGCCTCAAATTAAAAAATAAAAAGAGCTAGGGTTGTAACTCAATGTGAAAGCCCTAGGTTCTGTTCTCAGTATAGGAACAGAAGGTGGGAAGAGGGACGAGGAGGAGAAGCAGGAGGAATAGAAAGGAGAAAGAGAGAGACAGAGACGGACAGAGACAGAGACAGGGACAACAAATTGGACAAAAAGAAGAAGGAAATGTGAAGGCCAACGGAATGGTCTATTCTATAATGTCACACATTTTCCTTAATTAAAAAAAAAACCTTCCTTTTCATTTTGCTTTAAAATACATAATAGTTAAAATGTATGCCCTTGAAAAGTATTACCTATTGCACTAAAATGTTTAAAATGAGACATTAGCCAGATAACAACAATGCAAATTGAAAAAAGAAATAAAGAACTTAATATTGATCAGTGTTTCCCAAAGCATTCCACAGAACATTAGTTCTACAGGATCTTTATAGGCTTGACATGAAATGAGCAGAGACTGGAGGAAAACTCTGGTCAACTAATTTTGGGAAATGATGTTTAACAAAGTTGAAAGGACTTAAGATTTGCATGATGTTTTAACATTCCACAGTGTATCAAATATATTAATCAGTCAATCCTAATTACACATACTTATTCTTAGTTTAAAATATGTATTATACTTGGAAACAAAAAAGAAAATGTTCTTAAGAGATTTATTCTTCATAACCCAAATCAATAATGTTATGATCAAAGGTTTAAAAAAAATCTAGTTTTTTCTAATAGCATTTCATAGGACTAGCGTTCTAAGGAATATATTTTGGGAAATGCCGATCCATCCAGAATACTTTCTGTTCTTAAATTAAGGGTGAGGGTTGGGGGTTGGTCAGTATTTTATTAATTATAGTGTGGCCCATGGGTGAGAAGCATGGGCTTTAGCTGAGACCTAGTTAGAATTGTACAAACTCAGCCTCACCTCAGACACACTAAGTCAGAATCTGCCTCTTTACAAAGTTACCAAGTGAACTAGAATATATTTTCTGTGTTCCTAGGACCTTGGACCTTTCCTAACCTGCCTCTGCTAACACAGAACCATTCTCTGGGCACCTCATTCTAAGGTCAGAATTCTCAGAAAGGATTTTTTTTGCAAGTTCTCATAATCCACACTCTCAGTTTGGACAGGTAAGAAAAATGAAGCCCAGAGAAGCAAAGTTGATTTTCTAAAGCCACACAGCTAAATAAGAATACAATCCAAATTTCATGATTACTTTTCCAATGAGTTGATTGTATTTTTAAATACAAAGTTATAAAATAAAATTGCCAAGTATTAATGTTACAACAAATGAATAGCAATGTTTTTCTTCTCGTGGAAAAGTCTCTCTTTGAAGTTTAAAAACTGACTACTTTTTAATGAAATTACATTATTCCTGAAGGTACTTAAAAAAGAGTGAATTTACCACCCTGTCATTCCTCTTACAGGTAGGAAAGCCTTTATATTCAAGCAGATGCCTGCTCTCCCTTTCTCACAACTGACCTTACCATGCCACAGGCCCACCGAGACTGCTGTGTGTTAGTAGATTATAAACAGTGTTAGAACCGTAGAGTCAATGGTACAGATCGATCAGTTTTAACCAGTGACCCCATTAGCAATCATCATTATCTTACCTAGAACAACTGAAACCTGTAATTTGAGACATAAATATATCAAACAGCCACAGAAGAATAATAGATGAGAGAATAATATTGCAGACATGTTTAAATAAATTTCACCAGTATTCACAGTATTGTGTGTAGTGGACATATGCATATTCCCCACAAGACGAGTGTCTCTTTTCACTTCGGAGCAATTTTTTCTTTTTTCACTTTGTTCCTATCTTTTTCACTATTGACATTTGTTCAAAAGCAAGGGAATCGAGTACTACCAAAGTCAAGAAGAATAACAAAACCACTTAAATAAACAGCTGAGCACACTGCATTTGACTTAAGTCAAATAGCTTCTTTAGTTTACCTCAAGGCTATTCCAGTTTTTGCCTGGAAAAAATTCCTAAGCACTGTATTCTAACCAAAGAAAAATAATTGCACAGTTCCTGTTTACTCTTTTTCTCCTCCCTCAAGGTATACAGCATGATTATTGTTATAGAATGGTCAAATTAAATGTGTCTAATCAAAAATTAATTTTAGTATCCTTTGATGCTTGATAAATCTCCAGTGTCATTTCCATTCTTCAATTTTTGTTGCCCATAAACTTTTGCAACTTTGAGGGATTGCTTGTTCTTAATTCTTTATTTTATACTGAATTGTATGGTTTTTCTTTTTTAACCAGGAATCAAACTCAGCACCTTGTGCTTGCCAGGCAGTAGCTTATGCCACTGAGCTATATCCCCGGGCTGTGTATGGCTTTTTGATAGATCATCATTCTTCAGGGTGATGAGATTACATGATTTACAATGTTTCCCCAAATAATAACAATATGTACCTTGTGAACAGGGAGCTAAAGGCTGAGCAAATGCTTATTCCTTCTTCTCAAGAAACTTTTATTGTTGGCAGAAGTAAGAATTGCAGTGAGTCCTTATAAAAAGTGGTGACACTATAATGTACATTTCCCCAATCAAATTTATCTCTTTTTATATTAATTGTTGTTAAGAATATTCATCTTAGAACATAATCTAGATTTTTATCCCAAGATTCTACTCCAGTACTATTCAATAGAAATATGATACCAACATATGTGATTATAAATTTTCTGGCAGCTACATTTAAAAAATAAAATGAAATAGTTAAAATTAATTTTGAGAATACATTTTATTTAATCCAATATGACTGAAATATTATTGGAACATATAATCAAAATAAAAATTAATGAAATATTCTGTGTTAGTCATAGTAGTCCCCAAGTATGCTAATCTTAAAAGAATAGCAGGATAAAATGGCTAGAATTTAGAGAAAAAGAATTAAAGCTTTTCAACTATGTTAATAGCACAGATTTCTTAAAAATTAAAATTAAAAATTACATGACAGAATTAGAAATCAGAGAACTATTTTTTCTTTCCTTTCCTTTCTATTCTCCCTACTGCTGTCCCTCTACTAATTTTGTTGTTTCTATCATAATGTTACCACAATTTGTAATTTAGGCATTTGTTGATGTCCTTTTCCACACGTTTCCACAGAACATAAACTCTATGAGACTAGTACAAAAGGGCTTGTTCATTGTGTCATCCAGAATACCCGAGCATTTGCCCAGTACACAAGAGTCAACTAAATATTTGTAAAAAGAATTAAAAAACAAGGTAAGGAATCAATTAGGTCAGTATAAAGGTAAAGAGTTTTTTTAATTAATAATTCACTGTAGAATTCTAAATATTTTTATCCTAACATTGCATAGACTAAACAAAAAGAGTAAACATATCAGATGTTTTAACTTCTGTAACACTTTCCATTCTTGAGCATTTAAGAATAACTTCTTGTTTCCAAATGTTCTCAAGATAAACAAAATTTAGAACTTGTCCAGATTCCACCCTCGGGGCTAGGAAGGATCTGTTAACAAGTTCTACCGAGGAAAGCCTGGACTGGAGAGAACTGTTGTGAAAGTCGGGATGTGTTCACTTTGAGCATCCAGCAATGGATACCTCCAAGAAGATCTTGAAGCAGAGTAGAACAGTGAAAACAAAGATGGAAAAACAAGGCTAGTGAAATACACCTGTGAAGGGACAGGCAGAGGGCCTAGCACCATTGCAGACTGGCCTGCATTTGGTCAGTGGTTGGTGGCCAGGGTTTCTGTAGATACACTGAGTAGCTTTTCAGTAGTTTCCAAGAGTGTGAATAAATAAACGTACCACCATAACAAAAACTATAATCAGCCATCATGCTCAGACAGGATTCTGGCTACCAGACCTCAACATCATAATTGAACCATAAAAGATGGAGAATTATTTTGGAATAATTATGACAGATTTAGGCATAAGTGATTCAAATCTATTTTGTCATAGTTCCACCTTTTATCTCCTAAAGCCAGTTTTTCCTTCAATTTTTGCATTAAAAATACTACATAATCATTTAGTTAGTTTGCTGTAATGCACAGCGTAAGCATATCAAAATATAAAATAATACCAAAAAATCTGAATGTATAATTGAACTATGAAATATTTCCTGTTAACTATAGGAGACATTAAAAGAATAGCTGCTATAAAGAAACTTTTGGGAAGATTAGATCTGCAATAAACTTTAGAAGTTTATGACTCAGAATTAAATTAGTCAGATTAGGAAGTTAAAAAGCAAACAACCAAATTGTTTTAAATGCTGGTATTCCCCTAAAGAGATGGGGGAAGCTGAGATAAAAAGCATGTTTTAGGGAGTTGACTAGAAATGTTTTGGCACTAGAGAGGTGGTTTGAGAATCTTTCAACACCTAAGAGTGACTCTAGTTTGAGAAATGCACAATTCCAACAATACGGGATATAAATTCTCACTTACAAAAGATAATCAAACAGCTTGAGAGCTTAAATCTCAGTGCAGCTGCTTACATCAGAAAGGACAATTTCTCCCAGAAGACTTGTGGATATACATCTGATTTTCTCTATTCGTAATTATATTGCTCTTCATACCAAATTTATCCTCCCACCCCCACCCTGATAGCATTAGAGCTACCTGGCCAGCTCTAAATACGGATATTTATATAACAGCAATATTAGAATTGAAGTAGGGTCTAGAGTAAGTATCCAAAACACTTACTGACTCAAAAAGAAATTTAATAATAAACTGTAAAGAGGCCACTACGTGAAGAAGAATGCTAAAAGGACAGAAAGTTAGGCTAGAGATTTAGCTCAGTGGTTCAAGAGCTTGCTGGGTAAATGCAAGGTTGTGAGTTCAAACCCTGGTACAGAAACAAGCAACAAAAAAAAAGCACAGAAAGCTAGATCTCTGCCCTTATGAAAATTGCACAATTAAGTCATTCCATTAAAAACAGTATGAGAGTAGTTGCCTATCTTTTATCACATCACTGTTTTATTTTCTCTATAGCACTGTTGTCATCTGAAATTACTTTGTATATTTACTTACTGTTTGTATATGTATTATTTATCTCTGACACTAGAATGCATATTCTATAGAAGAGGCGATTCCAGTGCCAGAACAGAGCATTGCTAAATAATGAATATCAGCATTAATAATGAATAAATACATTATTTATCATTGTATAAAATTAAGTAATGAATGAACGATACAGAGCCATAGGAATTAGAAGAAAGAATGGAAGTCTCCATAGAAGAAAAAAGTCATTAATTACAAGTCAAATTTGGCAAAGTTGAAAAGGTTTCTTGCCAAAGTGAGATAGAATGGGAAAAGCAGAAACAAGTATCACTTGCAGAATACTTTAAAAAGACTAGTTTCTGGATTTCTGTGTGGTTAATGTTCAAACTAAAAGTCCTCCTTACAAAACCCCTAACTTCATTTAAAATGCTCTTCTCTCCATAGCATTTATCAAAACTCAGCAGTCACCAAACACTCTTATTTCCCCTTCACTACTGCCCTGTAGTGAAGGAACATCTTCTACAGTAAACAGAAGAACTGAAACGACACTTAGGATTTGCAGGCAGATTTATTTATGTCCACAGGCACTGACTAAGAAAAAAAATGGTAGGACATGATCATCGGTAGTTTGGGACCTATGTGAGATAAGCAAGCGGAAGGTACAGAAGCAGCGTATTTGACAGTCTTTGATTGGTTCTTACAATATGCATCACAGTGACTAGCCATTTCGAACAAATAAAAGTAATAGGAACTGTTACCTGAGCAACTAATAGAAACTGAAGTATACGGCTTGGAGGAGGGCATTTTCTGCTACACATCAAATCCTAAAGCCTCTACTTCAGCCATTTCTCTTATTATACCCTTTCCTTCACTCATATCACTGATTCTTAATGAAGCTCTCACTAACATTTACATAAATAAATGTGACAAAGTCTTTGACTTCATTTTCAGTGCTCCTAGTCTGCTTTCCAAAACATGATTCTGATTCCAGCTCTACCTCCAGGTGATCTGTCTGACACTAAACGAATACATCACAACTCCTCCCTTTCTTTGCCTTCTCATCTACCCATGGAGGAACTGAGATGAACTGAAGCATCTCCATGGTCCCTTCCTACTCTTATGTCTTAGAATCCAGTGACATTTCAGTGTTTAGCAGAC